GATCCTTTTTAGTATCAAAGGAAATTTACAGAGAACAGTATGTTAGTGTGTGAGGGGTTAATGGCTGAGTTCACAATTAATGATCACGACGTTTCGACCGCTTTGATGTTTTTCTTCGTTCATACTGTTGCCTGGCGAAGATAGCGGTACAGCCGTTGAAACATCGCGTTCTTTGATTGATTGGCTCACTCTGCAATTAACATTGAATCTAAATTGTGAAGCGAACGTCATAACCACGTAAACCAAAGTCTTCCATTTGGTGACACTGATGATCAAAATACCAAGTGATTGCTTTTATTCTGTCGCACTTTGAAATACCTGTCGCACTTCGCAAAAGTGTGATGGTCTGTTTTTACAAAGAGAGACAGCTTTTTTTATCACAAAGTGCGACAAGAGGCTTACCAAGCGCGACAATTTTATTTCAAAGTACGACAGGTATTGCGAAGTTTTTCTTGGGGAATATATTTTAAATTCGCTAGTAAAGTCAGTTTTTTTACAATTTTGTTTTGCTGATAGGTACTGAAATCACCTTCGAAAGGAAAAAGGTACAGAATGTGATTAACGTATAACAATCAAATGAAAATAAATCTCGTTTTTGCCTGCGTAAAATGTGCAGGCTAAGACCTGCTCCTTACAGGTGAGTTGAAATTGAAGAAATTACAGAAAAGAAGCCTGAAAGCTTTCAGGTTCCGACGAGATTCCAACCCGTGCCTCCGGTATAAGTGGGGCGCCACTACCGACTAAGCTACGACATGTATTTCGCGGTTAGCGAAGGATATCGGACTAACTTTTATACTACAGCGGCAGCGTTTATTTGACTTTTAGTCTCGTCACCAGTCCACAGTCCCCATCCATTCGGTGGAGTTCTGCTGGGCGACAATCACAGAAGCAGAGGAAGAGGTCAAAGTCTAACTCCATGGACGATCAGAATGACGTAAACAGTAAAAAGGAAGAAAAAGAAGTAGAGAAACCCCCAGCATGGTAAGATGCATCACGCTAGCTCAACATTTGTTCAACTGACAGGAATCTGATGTGAAAAAAATGGAACGCTTGCAAAAGAGACACTTCTAATCCCATCCCATAATCCCTTGTGTGATAAGGGGACTTCTCGCAATAGAAGTAAACCAAAAAAAGAAATGATCCTCCCATGTGGACTGCAATTTTAGCAATTGAAGAAAAAGTAACACGGAAAAAAAATTAGGCTTTTACGGGGATTGGAACCTATGCTTCTCAAATACTAGTCTCGTATCCAGACCTTTCACGGTCAAACGCCGTCATTTCAGTCGCAGTTACACGGTAGGATCTAGTACGAGATCACTCAGATACTAGTTGGGCACTGCTGCCAACTGGGCCAAGACGCTACACGTTGTAAGTGTGGCAAATTTGAGAGGAATCTTCTTTCCCATAGAGAAATTTGAAGCATGTCAACTTGAAGAAAGATGTTCCTCGTCTTCTTACGAGCGTGGGAAAAAGAAACTTGAAAAAAGTGTTCCCACGAGGAATCGAATTCCAGATCTTCGGATTCCGCGCTCCAGTGCTCACTAGACAAGCTTGTCAGCTTAGGCAATGTTGTCTTAATAAAACCCGAAATTCGCCAAAAAGTTTGCAAGGAAATGCAATGAAATGTTTCGAAGGGTTAGCAATGTGTTCTTGTTCAGTCACAAAGATTTGGGAATCTTCAGATCCTGTGATCGTGTTTCGCACATCCAGTACACTTCTTAATTCTTCTCTCGTGTTTGATTTCAGGGGTGGGGTGATCAAAGATTCTTTGCCAATTCAGTCCTTGAGAGATCTTATACAAGAAGAAGAAAAGAAAAGAAACATTCCAGACCAAACGCCTTCACCAAAAATGCCAATCATACCGGGGAAGTCTGGATCTACAAAGAAAAAGCTTAAGTACAGTACATCACTTCTTAAAAGTCTAGCATCGCTTTGAAGTAGAGTAATTTGCAATGAGCAGTTTACGCATTTGAGAAATTCTTCACCTATTTCTGGTCCTAATTGTTTTCCCTTTCCATATTTTAGTTGGCGCCGGCAGCCTGGATTTTACACGAACGGTTCAGAACCCAATGGAGAAGCCCCCGTTGATTTAGCCTCTGGGCGTGATTCGAGTGTTCCACTGTCTCCACCCAAAAGGTGAGCTCAAGGTTGCTCTATTCACTCGTCTTGATGGTAACTGGAAGCAAAAGCGCGAAACTTTCTCCGAAGTCCATACTTCTCGTCATCAAATTCGTTATTGTTATTACTGTAATGATTTTCCTTAACCTGCACAAGTGGCTTCGTAATTTGAAACCAGTAGATGTCTTCGATCGTGAAAACTGCGTTGGCCTTAAATGTCAAAAGCACATGAGAGTTCTTATCGCCGGTGCTTTTCGGATGCAGCTGTGTCTGTTCTAATAACTTGTTCTATTCAACCATTCATTCATCTTCTGTATTTGTTCCCCAGTGCCTGGCAGTCAGTTCCTATCGCATCTTCTCCGCCATCTTCTTCAATCGCTTTCTCTACAATACTAGAATGCGAGGAAAAGGAGAACACAACTCTGAACAGGTTTGGCTCTGTTCTTTTTTTAGTTGTCAGGTGCATTTTGTTTTCATGGTTTTTGTTTGTCTGTTTTATTTGTTTATTCATTTATTTGCCTGTCGGTTGGTTGGTTGTTTTATTTTTGTTTGTTTTTTGTTAATTAGAGTTTACGGAAGTAATTAGCGCTCGATCATAATTTGTTGTTCTCGTTTCCTTTGTAGATTTAGCGAGAAGCCATTTCACTTGACACAGGTAATTGTTTTTTTTTCATTTTCTTGGGCATAATAATCTTTCTGCCTCCAAAACAACCATTTGCCACGCTTTCTTAACAAGTCTCATTGACAATTAGTTTGACTCTCCTCAATCCAAAACTCCCGTCCCTTTTCCATGGCTTTTTATTTTTCTTAAGGTTTAACTTGATTTTACCATTCATAGCTTGAAGAGAGAGCCATGGAAGAACTGCTGCAGTATTACGGTGGCAAGGACAATGCTTGTGAGTTTGTGACCGTTGAGAGAATTCCATCGACTGCGGCTAAGCCTGTTTGGAGAAAGGAGAGATCGCCATCAGTTGCAAGCAATTAAAGCTTGTTACGCAGCCACAGCTATCATCAAATGAGTTTTTGTCGGGCGAGATGGATTTCCCCTGCCTTTGCGAGGAAGAGATTTTTAGAGTTAGGCTGAATGGCCAAATCCGAGTTAAATATTTTCTCGCTGACTTCTATGAAACGATAAAGAAACTTATTGAAAGCGTTGATCGTTTACCTTGTAACAGAGAAAAATACAACATTTTAAAAATGTTCTTATGTCGAAGCATCCCCAAAGAGTTATCTAATGTAACAAAAGTAAATTGTAATAAATATACAAAACTATATAATTATCAACTCTCTAGTTCGTGTCCGTCAACTTCACCGACGAAAATTTCGAATCAAGACATCAGCGTAATTTTTTCATAGGCTTTAGACTTGTACGATTTCGCACAGTTCGGAAGTACTTTGGAAAAAGGGAAGCTTAAATAATGTAACAAACATTGAATCCTATTTTTTTGTCATTTGTTCCAGTGTGCGGGCTTTTCAAAACTTCACGTCAGTCTCAGGGAAGCCCTTTAACTTCCAAGATCTCATTAGTAATTCTCCTTACTGTCTGCCATACAATTCATGTGATGTTAGTTTGTAAATTCTCATTTACTTGTCTGTTTGATATTGTACCAACAGTGTAAGGAGAAATTATGTTTAAATCACTAGTGGGACTTGAAGGGTTCAACCTTAAGAGTGGCCAGCATCTAATTGTTCCTTGTAGTAATACTGCTGGATCATTCATTGAGATCATGTGAGCAAAAGAACTGATCGCCAAATTAAGAAGGTTTGATTGCATGGTAAACGAATTCCCCTAGTCAGTACTAAAGGCGATGTATAGAGAAGAGTATGGAGAATGTGGATATTGATGTTAGATTATAAACGGTGATGAAACCTTATTCATTACATAGCTCGAAATTAAATCAGTTTCCCTTGGAGAACATATTTCAGGGAGGCGAGTGAGATTTTAATTCATACTTACTGAGATTTTCACTGTGAACTACTTTCGTTCGTGTGTCTGATTGTTGAACGTTGTATTTTCAGTCGTTCGCTTCCAATCTTTGAGCTGAAGTGTGAAGAAGTCTCAGAATGTATGAAATAAAAACTTCATGCCATGGAAATTGCTTAAACGATATTTATTCACTCGTCATGATGCAGCGAAGAAGTCACTCCTTCGCTGCGCCCACTCATTGGGTTTTTTGATGTATCGCAACTCGTGAATAACAATCATTCGTGTGCACTTTTCATGGAGTAATCTCTATTTACTCTATTGTCCATTGCATTTCCTTAGAAGGGCCTTTTTACATGGCTCTCTCTGTAACTTCCTTAAAACCACTCAGGATAAAGACAATAGCACCTGTTTCGCACCTGTTTCACACTCTCGTTTGATTGGTGAATCTCTCCTTCAAACTCAGCATGTGTGTTCGTCTCGAGAACAATGGGTTAACTTAGGATGACCATCTTAAGCTGATGTTGTTCTTGATTTCCATCGCGTACCTGTTTGACGATGCTTTTATCTTATAAGGAAAAGGTTACATGCCCTCTGAACCAAAGAGTTAACTGCAATAGCGAACGAGTTCGAATCACTTCTTTAAGTTTGTGGACGTGTTACTAAATTTTATAACGGGGCCGCACTTCAGACATGTGGTCAGACAAAATAGGAAATTCGTCCTCCCTTCTACAATTAATTTGGGCAGTAAACAGTCACGATTGCCAATATTTTATGAAGCTCGACGCGTCAACAAGTAGTGAGGACAAACATAGCTTTTTGATGCATATGTGACGGGTAATTTTAAATGACGTACAGAGGTACAGAGTACTTCTCAGCGAAGGTTATCTGTTCATAACGCGAAAATTTGGTTTTTCACACGTAGGTGGCCCCTCTAAGATGGCCGGTGTGAGTAAATTCTTTGTAAACGTAATATAACTCAGATCGCGAAACGGCCTCTGCTGAGCTACTGATTCAAAGATACAGGTAAGCGATGTATTTGTTTTTACCTATTTAATTAATCTCCACTAAGAGGTAATAAACTAAACTAAATAACAGTTTATATTCCCTTGTCTACACACGGTCGGGGTTAATCAGGAATACAATAACTTTTGTCAGAGCTTACGTCGAACCTATCAACGAGATTTGATAATCAGTGATTAAAAATCTAGCAACCACTGGATAGACGCGCTATCCGTAATAATTAGAAAGGTGATAAGGATTTTGAGAGATTGAAGGATTTCTTTTACTTGTCAACCAAAAGTAGAACCTTTCAAAAATCGTAAATGACTGATTTTTGGTTTGTTTTTGTTTTGTTTCGTTTTTCCCCTGATATTGTGTGAGCATAATGTTTTTGCTTGGTGATTGAATAGGATTTTTTTCTCCTTTTCCTAGTTTTTCCCAACCCCTCTCCCAACCCCGCCTCTTAGTAGTGGACACTACAAAGTTATTTTTGAGAGGATAGGGGTTGGGAAGAGGGTAGGGGGGTCGGGTTTCTGATACAGGAGCCCGCATCATCCCTCGCTGTAATATAATCGAGTATTGGATCGCAGTCTTTTATTTACTAGTGTCTCACTCAGGTAAAGCTGCGGAAACATGGTTAGTTTTGCCAACAGAAATGGTATAATTCTGATAGCCATTTCAATCGCTGTCGCCTTGGCGATCGTGATAGGGATATCTCACACGCAAAAATCAACAGCATCATCCATGAATAAACGCCGAGCGGGTGAGTACTGTTGTGCTATATGTTCACGTGTGTTAAGTGCGCTAACGTGATGCATTACAATAGAACCTTTTAAGTCTCACTTTTATGACGACAAAAATGTTTTATGAATATGAAAGTGATCCTCGCAGTAATGTACACTACTTAAGCAGTGGTGAAAATAAGGCCTGAAAAAAATTCAGGCCTGTACAGGAATTGAAGCCACGACCTCTGCGATACCGGTGCAGCACTCTGCCACTGAGCTAACAAGTCAACTGGGAGCTGGTCATTATGTTGGATCAGGCCTTATTAGAGTTCATGAGTTCAATTCCCTTACAGGCCTGATTTTTTTTACAGGCGTTATTTTCACTACTGCTTAAGTAGTGTACATTACTGCGAGGATCACTTTCATATTCACGTCTTTATCTGCAGTTCAAATATATCACTTTCATATATTCTTAGCCGTTTAAAAATATTTTATTTTGACATCACAAAATGAAGTCTTCCTTAGACAAAGTGGGGAAATTGGTGACGCTGTCACTGTTTTCTTTATACCAATTACACACTTCTAAAATGTTTAAGAATATTTCATCGCTTTTTGAGCGTTTGCATTTTACTTGTGACATCAACCGCCAATATTGAAGTTATTCTCCGAAAGCGGAACTTCTGAACAGACATTTCTGGGTTCTTATTTTACTTAAAATGTAAAAGGGTTTTCGCTTTTTAAAGAAGCAAGATATCGAATGTCGCTGGCTTTTAGATTTCATGGCCTTGCGTTACATGCGATTCAGTAACATCGTTACATGTGGCTGACTGACGAATGTCTTCGTGTGTTGTAACAGACAAAGCTGTCCATTTCACTTCACATATGTAATGCAATCTGAAATTTAATTCAAAATCAAAAGAAGAACGCTCGCTGATCGCCCAGGCTTAAATGTGTGATACGTTCAAGTACAAGTGCAAGCTTCAATCATATTTTTTTCTTACGATTTTTTATTGAGGATTTGTCTTCATTTGTATTTTTTTTTGTAATTTTAATCACAGCACTCAGTGAGAAGATGCCCTCTTATAGGATATTCGTATGCGTGAAGGTCGACCTCCAAATGGTCTCCTTTGCAGCCGTTGTTTGGTCTCGTCACTCGACGCGTTTTCTCTCTCAGCAAACTACGGCTATGAAAGGAGACTAAACGAAAGGAGACGACCAAACTCCTTGTATCGATGTTCGTCCCTCCCTCCCCTCCTTGTGAAACAAACTTTGGTTCTTTTCATAGTCTCTCAACTTCGGAAAGGAAGAAAAACGTTAAAAAAGTAAAAATTAATGAAAACAGTGTCTGAAATCCCCACTTCTGTCGTAAATGGGAGGAATGTCATTTATTTTTCTCACCATTAAATGATGGAAAGAACGCTTTGAAAGGCTAATTGTTGAATTTTCAGAAGTCATAGGCCAAAAAGCTGATTAAAGACAAAAGTTTAAGTTGTTCTTGTCCCTCAGCAGGTGTTCCTATTTCTCTTCCTACGAGACAGACAGAGAATCAATGGTTCAAAGATGGCGTGAAACTCATCAGAGACAATCTTAATAGGCAACCGCTGACTCATACAGCAAAGAACACGATCTTGTTCCTTGGCGACGGTATGGGTATAACTACTACCACTGCTGCACGTATCCTGGCAGGTCAAATGTTAAACCAGTCGGGAGAAGAATATGTCCTTAGTTGGGAAAAGTTTCCGTGGTCTGCCCTGTCCAAAACATACAATGTAGATCAACAAGTTCCAGACTCCGCTGGAACAGGAACTGCCTTTTTGAATGGTGTGAAGACTAATGCTGGTAAGTCGAAAGAGGCAAACCTCTCTCTCTCTCGAAATTTCTGGACGCTCAACGTAGGAAGGAAAGTCATTTTTCTTTTTCGATTGGTCACTTGTTAGTCTCGTTACCAGTCGCTCACACTTCGTATTTGTTACGCTGAATGTTTTGCGAACGTCTGAGGATAGGACTTCGGAGTTATCGTCCCCTAATATATTTCTCTCTTTCTTCCAGCATGTTTCCTTTTGCTTTCCATTGAAATTTTCTTCTAAGGGTTTGATTACTGTTCCTCTCTACCTGATAATAAACCCGACCTCAAAATGGTGGATAAAAATTGAATAGAGCATTAACTATGCAGGTATACATGCATCCATTGTTTTTGGGTATCTTGCCCAATTTTCATTTGGTTAGCTGGGAAAATGTAGCTTCACATTTGGAACAATTACAAGCATTGTTGTGGTTGGGGATGTTTTACATCCCCTCCCAAACAATTTTCTGTGAAGAGAAACACCTTTGGACTGTCACTTCTCTAATTAAATGGACGGCATTGATGTGCAATTCTCACAACAGTAAACCAAACATGTTCTCGTAATAACGATTTTCGTTGGATAAATCTATCATCCTTAACAATGAGAAATTGTTTACTATGGTGCATCCCGTTTCTACTTATTTTTCATGTTATCAATCAGGCGTAATCGGTGTTGACGAGGCTGTAAAGCGAGGATTCTGTCAAAGTTTAAATGAAAGCAACAAAGTCCTGTCCATACTAACATTGGCAGAAATGGCGGGAATGTCAACTGGTATCGTGACAACAACGCGTGTCACGCACGCAACACCAGCTTGTCTGTACGCACATTCACCGGAGAGGGGGTGGGAGAGTGACCGCGACCTGAGGCGCAAAGCAAAGGATGACGCATCCAACTGCACAGACATAGGTCTGTAGTGCATGCAAAGTGGATGGGTAAATTTTCTGCTGGATTCTAGGAGATTTTAAAGTAATAACAGTTAATTACCATCGTTTGTCCCATGGGGTAATTACGATGCAAAGATCGATGGATACTGCACCATGCAAATATTCTTAAGCTATTCCATGAAAAATCCATCACTTATTATCCGATTTCCTATAGGTAATTAGTTTTTTGTTTGTCTGTAATTTTTTAATCAAATCTTTATTGATTTTATTTTCGTTTATTTTTGTTTTTTTTTTCTGTGAAGAATTAAAAAATTGTTTCTCAGAGAAAACTGTTGAAAATTGTTTCTCAGTTTGAGATTACTGTTACATTAAAAGTTTTTCCAAGGATAGCGAGTTCTACTCTCGTTCAAAGGATTTTTCTCGTCTCTGCAACAGCTTTACAACTCATTGAGTACCCGTTTGGAGATGGAATTGAAGTTATTTTCGCTGGAGGTCGGAGGGAGCTTATACCCAATAACGAGACCGACCCTGAATACCCGGATTTGAAGGGAGAGAGGCTAGACGGCCGAAACCTAATTCAAGAGTGGGTGGATAAATTTCCAAATTCTCAATACGTTTGGAACAAAACTGGCTTTGACCAGATTGACGTCAACAAGGTTGATCACGTTCTAGGTACGTTATCATAAAATTTGTAGGGTGAATGACTATTTCTCAGGTGTAATTTAGTAAAAAGCTGAAGTTTCGGGCGTTAGCCCTTCGCCAGAGTGATTGTGAATCTGACGTAGGGCTAACGCTCGCAACGTCAGCGTTTAAACTCTTTACGGTGGCCAATCCACGTTATCAACTCAGTTGATAACGTAAATTACCCTGTTATACTCTCCAACCGACGCAGCACCACAGTTTCTTTAGAAACTTACCCCCTTTATATCTCATGCGATTGAGGGGTGGATGGATTGATTACCTGACTGATTGATTGATTAGTTGATTTATTGATTGAATGATTGATTGATCGACTGATTGACTGATTAACTGGTTGATTAACTGGTTGATTAACTGACCGATTGCTCGATTGATTGATTGATTGATTGATTGATTGACTGATTAATTGTTTGCTTCATTAAATGAATCAGCTCTCTATTGTCTTTTATTCGGGTATAGCTTTTTTGCCAGCATCGATCCAACTGAACATTACTTTATGGCATCAATGCTTTGCCAAATAAATATTACAAACGATGAAGACGATGAACACTAACATTATAGTATTGTCTTCTTACTTAAGTACTTAAGAAGCTGTTCAACGCTTGTATAATTTATCAGGTCTGTTTGAGTACAGCCATATGCAATACGAAGTCTTCAGGAAGGAGAATGAAACAGAGCCATCCATTGAAGAGATGACTGAGAAAGCCATAAATATCTTGCAGAAAAATCCAAAAGGATATTTTCTCCTGGTAGAAGGTGCGTAAGAGAACAATGTCAACTAGCTCAGAAAAAATATTACTATTTGGCTGAAAGGGAGAAAATCCTTTATGACTCTTTTTTGTTTAAGAGAGCATCAGGCATAGGGCTTCTTATAGAGATCATGTTCTTATTATCGGAAATGGGGGCTCCGATAGGGGTCCAAATTAAGGAGGGGCGCTATTGAAGCGTTTATAGCGAGTCATGTAGTTTTCAGTGGGTCCTCTATCGGGGATATCGAAAAGGTAGTTTTTTTCTTTCTTCCTTTTTCATTTCAGGTGGCCGCATTGACCACGGACACCATGGTACAAAGGCGGTGCGTGCCCTGAATGATGCTGTTGCTATGGCAAAGGCTTGTGAGAAGGCGACAGAAATGACCAATCGAGGTAAATAACAGCTATCATAAATCTCAAGAGCTGACAAGATTGCTTACGCGAAAAAACTTGATTGTTCCTTTGCTACGTCATGATGGTTTTAAAAGTAGAATCTTTCTTCGTGCTATAATCAAGCTTGGAATGTCACGAGTTGTCTCAGGTCACACTTGAATAACAGCAGTATAAACCAAGAAAGCTTGGATCGAGTTCTGTGTAGTTCGGTGATAGAGCTCCAGACCCTGTCCAAAGATTATTGTTCGTTCTCGATGCTTGTACTCATTGATGACACTACGCTGTCCTACACCACGCCCTTGACTGATGAATTGAGCTGTTTCTGTTGAGTGGCGTAATCTATAGTTCTATTTTCGCTAGGAATTAAAATAAGATTCTGTAGAGAAAATAGCTTTAATTGGTAGGGAAACAAAGCATTTAAGTATTACTTAAGTATTAGTTATGTTTTGTCGTTGCCGTGTTCAAACGGTTGTTTCATAAAACAGATAAACAAAAACAAAAACAAAAAAATAAGCAAAAAGAAACAAAACCTAAACACTCTCAGCGGCCATTCAAAACAATGACGAATATGAAAAGGTGCCAAAGGGAGCTCAAAGAGAAAACAAACAAACTGCCTGAAGCGCGGGGAAACGGGAGTGGCTAAGAGCTGATTAGTTTTAGTTTCTGATTGGTGATGATGGTGCAGTTGTATTTTCAAAGCAATCGTAGAATAAAGCAAATCACACATATTGTAACCTCGGGTAACTTCCGAAAATCAACTGAAAGTTGCTTTATCACTGTGCTTCTGTTTTCCCTCACAGAAGATACTCTCGTGGTAGTGACTGCTGACCATTCTCACGTGTTTTCCATGGGTGGTTACGCTAAACGTGGCAATTCAATCTTTGACCTGGTAGTAAAAGTTGGCGAGACTACGCCGGACGTAGCAAAGGACAAACTTCCTTACACAGTCTTGGGTTATGCAAATGGACCCGGAGGAGAACGGGTAAATGGTACACGACAAGACCTCACAGGGGTGGACACGGGAGACAGTGACTTCGAGCAGCAAGCCACGGTTTGGTTAAGCTCGGAAACTCATGGGGGAGATGACGTAGGTATGTTTAAATACTATAATCCTTTTATCTCCAGAAACGAACCGATAATTTATTTGTTTTCATTTTAGGCCAATTTTACTTGATCTTTTCATTATTTTGTTTTCAAGTCATACTCGTTTACAATCTGTTGAAGCTTTCGAAATTGTTTCAGGTATTCGACGATATAGTTTGAACTGCAATTTGGTCGAGCACTTCCCTAAGCTGTCACTAGAGACAGTGGTTCCTAAAATTGATAATTCGAAACAAACTCAATCATCGAATGATAAAGCAATCATTGCGCTTGGTCATTGGAAAGAAACATGATTTATCAGTGTCTTGCAGATCTACGGTTTGCCTCAGCCTTCTGCTTCAGGGAATAATTGATATGCAAGTCACTCAAAATTTACGATGTTTTGCTCAACCTCCTCAAATGATTGTTAGTTCTTGTTGCTCATCAATAAATTGTGGAATATACGAGAGTAGAGATAATATTAACCAGCTTAATTTGTTTCATTTCAACACCAAATTTCTAGCACAAAAAAAAATTTTTAAAAAATTTATGGCAGATAACAAGAAGTAATATGAGACCCTGGCATGGCAATAGAAAGTCTAATCAAACTTGAAACCAAAACGTGTGAGAAGGCTGATCTTTTCAGAGTCTGATGAAAGCCTCCCCTCTGTTGCAGACTCTATTTATTAAAATTAAATATCATATTTACCTCAGGAATATATGCAGACGGTCCGGGAGCCTACTTATTCAGTGGTGTTGTGGAACAGCCGTATATATTTCACGTGATGGACCATGCCATGTGTTTAAGTGATAGCAAGCGGGATACGTGTGATAGGCACCCAGCGAGAGAGTAACGAAACTATAGAGCAAATTAAAACTGACTGTTTTAAATGAACCTCAGTTAAATCAAAACGGCTCATCATAACACAGAAAAATATTACAAGGAGCTGACGAAAACTGAAACTGGCTGACACGGGGTCAAAAGAAAGTGACCCGATCCTGTCGGATGTCTTAGGTTCCCGATCTGATTGGTGGAGAGGGCAACACAAGTTTTCTTGTCCAATCAGAAAGAAAAGTAAAGAAAAACCAATACAATTCCATTTTGATTTTTACATTCACTTGAAAATCTCTGTCAGACGAATGCTTCAATGCGAGACTTTACTGAAATAAATCGCGTTCAATGTACAGTCAGTTGTCGGTTTGTTTTATGTTGACTCCCCTATAAAATAAATGGACGGACTCTGATGTCTATCCCAGTCAACTGATTACAGGTCCTTGCTGGAACCATGGTTAGACGAGAGCATAATGGTAAAAATTAAGGACTTTTCAAAACTTGCAAGTCAATTTTTGGGATGAAATGCCATGGGAATTGTAAGCATAGTTCCATCTACTCAAATATTTTCAGTAAATAAGACAAACGAGACAAGAATCTTTTCCCCTTTGCTAAACTTTATTCATGATGTGGTATTCTGGCCCATAAAAGCAAAGCGTATATGTGTTTGCAATTATTGTAAGAACATAAACCAAATGTAAACCTCGAGTAACCATAGAAGACTTCTTTTATAACCTTTCAATAGTCTCATATGTAAACTAAACAAAATGAAATGTTGGTTACTAAACACTTAACGGTTATCGCGCTAATTGTGAAAACATTACATAGTATCACTGTAGATCTTGCCTGGCCCTAGAAAACCTCGACTTTAATACTTCAACAGTCCTGAATTTCGATCACAGCCAACTGAGATGTTTGCATTCTAGAAAGCCTGACAACTTTTGCAATTATGCTAAAAATGTAGTTTCACTGCAGATCATGATTAGCCCTGCTGAACTCCGTTAGAACCCCACAATTAACACTATAAAAACCAAACTTAAGTGCGGTTTGTTTACTAAAACACCGCCCTAACATCTAAGTCTGTTGGTGGCTGAATTAGGATGCTGCATGAGGTTTACACACCCAATGATAATTTCAGGCACATCAGCTCATTTAATTGTTTGCAATAGTGTCTTTGATCCACTGAAGAACAACTCGCACATCAGCCTGGAGATAGGTTCGGTCTCTTTTACCACAAGCATTCTTCCCATAACTGTGAACCCCTTCTAAGTACCACCTTCCATCTTCCTCGCGAATCACAGGGCCACCAGAGTCCCCGAAACAGTCGTTTCCTTCGCCCCAAAATTTAGATGTGGTGAAAAAAACTGCTTCTCTTTCCTGAAATAAATGATAGGAAAAATCCAGATACGGTTTAACTTGAAACGGAATGGAGGGATAGGGGAAATATTCGTTAGTGTTATTACTCAGTGCAAGAATAGTCTAGAACTGTGTCGATTGTAGATCAAAGCTTGAATTAAGACTCCTATTGAAAATCTTAGCTTCTATTTGGAAATCCCCTTAAAAAATTTATTCTCATATCCCATTTTCCGTTTCGTGTCCGTGCTCTTAATTCAACGTTTTCTTGGTTTTTGCCCGACAAGCCAATTCCCTTTTCTCTTGGTTAAAGCATCTGTAAGGAAAGCCTATGTACCTGTGTTAACTGAGGAGCAATCATGTTTGAACGGATTTTGAGATGAGTGTTAACTCTGGTAAGTGAAAACGGAATGATGTTTTGCATCGCTCGGGATGTCCTCGTGGCAAATGAGAAGAGCATACCTTAAGGCGCACAAGCCACTCCGAAAGTAGACGCATGCACACCGAAAGGTAACAGTTTACGAGTCGTCCGCATTCCCCCTCCTCCCCCCTCAATAACGAAAAAATGAGAGGGTCATTGCATGTTTCTTCACCCACAGGAAGATTTAAGACGAATCGGGGAGAGGTTGGCGGGAGGTCTGGCACTAATATATGCTGGACCCTTTGCAGAGTCACTTTGCTCATACTCTCCCGTCGGCGAAGAAACGCACGCGTAGAAGCGCTAATAACGAGCGCCTGCTCGCATGATAATTTTCACTCGGTACCTACATCTTCCTCTGACACGACTTCAACTTGGACTTCTTTTAGCACGTTCGACAAAAGACCGCTGGCATTAGTCCTGGCCCAGCCAGTTTCCCAAAGGAATGAACCAAGCGGCAACCTTGTGGTGGATTTGGGCAAGCATATGGTCCCTACATGATCGTTTAAGGTTACAGGATCCGTCAGTTTTAACAATGCAAAGTCGTAATCGAGTAGTTTGCGGCTGTAGTTATGATGTCTAACGATTTGGTCAACACAGTGCCTCTGTTCTTCGCAGCTTTCAATGGAACCATGGTTTTCCCCAAGTCTGATGGAGCACACAGAAAACTGATTTAACCATTTTCTCTCCTAAAACCTCTTTACTGTCTGCCATACAGTTCTAATGATGTCACTTTGGATAATTTTACATTGGATCGATTAATTATGCCCCAACTGATATTCTTCTTTGTTCTCATCAATTGCTTGCCTGATTTTTCATTTACATTTTAAGGAAAAAATTGTCTTGTGTTCTCATGGAGGTTAGAGGGTTTGGGGAATGAGTCAACGGTACAAGTCGAGGGGATGCTGAGTGTAAATGGGGATTGCAAGGAGGTTCTCTTTGCTTCACTTGAAGAGATAACGAAGAAATAAACCGCTGACTACTGTCAAACTACTCATGGCAAATTTCAAATAAGTGTTACAAATACTCTGGGATTGTTTCGGCTGTACGTCGTTATACTCTGTGATTTGTGCAAAAACTGGCATTATCTTGGAGGCATATGGAGTGAAAAAGTAAAGCATCTGGCTATTTATTCACTCGCGTTTTGATTAGTTAATTGTTACTCCAGATGCTTTTGGTATTGCGACGTTAAATCGACATGTACTCTTACCTTACCAAATAAGAGGATCTCACTGGAAACTTGAATCAATTGCAAAAAATTAAGTATTTGCAAAACCCCACGGACAAGGCAGGCGCTAATGTTTCTTCCTCATGTGCATAATTTAGCGCATTAGACATGTTTGTACTTTCTAATGTTAAACAGGGTCTATAAACGTACGTAAATTGATTGGTGAAGGAAACTCGTACACTACGAATAGATTTAAATTTCCTTACGATATTTCCAGATCTTCAGGATGGAGGCCGGTACAGTGGGCAGCGGTGATCACCCATAGAGGAGTCAAAAGAGAACCACTGCAATGCCAAGTGCGCATGCCTGTTTTCTTAAGTAGCTGCGCATGCCAGCGCCATTCGTCTGGACCAGATTCGCATCTTTTGATGTTTTCACTGAGCGGCATTTTCACACCACAACCTGCTAGTTCTGTCGGTTAACAAATAAAAAAGCTTGAAAATTATTTAGAAAAGAAGTTTTAGTTCCATCTAGCTTGGTTGTCGATCGTGGGCATATGAACGGCAAAAAGAGGTTCTAAAGTGCGCACTTAATTAGCGATACAGATGTTTCATTTTTCTTTTCACCTTTTCTGTGTAAATTGCAGATGGCGTGAACATCGTTCCTCGCTGGTTTGGCTGCATAGTCTAAAGCTCTACATTTGAATATCAAGGTCTAAAAATTACATGATTCTCCACTGCAGTCGCTATACATTTGCTAATAAACTAGTTGGGAGCAGCCGAAAAAGTCCAAATTCATTGCTTTGGTTGGAGCTACGGGTCTTGTAGTTTGTTTTCATGTATTTGGTGCTAGATGAAAAAGAGAAAAAGACATCGCCTTATGTAATACTTCTTACTTAGGTTCTAGTTACCTCGTTTAACCTCTGCAGCTTTTCCTTTGACTGGAGAAAGATTTTTGCACAACAGCAAAGTAACACAAAGAAGGCCAAGAAGCGTAGAATTTAGAGAGCAAGTCATGTTGCTGTCCTCCAAAGGAGCTGTAAGAACCGCCAAGTTATCAGGATATGTTCTAGCTCTCTAGAGTAAACACATAATTTATATCTAAACAAAACATATAGAAAAATACCATTCAGAAACCTAGAGACTCAGAAAACTGGAATCTGATGCTTTCCTTAAACAATGGGCTGTTGCTAAGTATTAAACACAGAACTTTTAAGTGCACCTAAGCATGAATGCACTCTTTTTAATTCATTGACATAATTGATTTTGCTTTGGGAAAAATATCTATGTACCTGAAAAATGGGAATTTTACCATTTGGTGTACACTATGCGTATTTAACTATGCGTGTCTCATTTATCGTGATCGATATTCTACGGCCGTTACAGGTGTAGAATTTGCCAAGTGAAATAACACTTAAGGCCAGACATCTATCATCGACAATTCCCTACACAATGTATCTAATGAGACAACTGTCCTTCAAATACATGCGTGGAAAGATATCGATATTCAACCGATGTTCAGTCAAGAACAAAAAGGTTCAATTATCGTATTGACTGAGAATATCCCCATAGCAACGCGATATCCTTAGGCGAAAAAACGCACTCGATCATTCTAAAAATAACTTGCGCACTGTAGTATGTTACGTTGAAGCATTGCAAGATAAATTAGGCCAAAAAGAAAGGGGAATAGATATCCAGGTGTTATCCAAGCTAGAGCTTGGATAACACCTGGAAAAGGAAGAGCTAAGTGTTTTACATCTAAACAAAACGTATTAAAACGTCAGACAAAACTCCCAACAACCCCGTGAATAACTGTAAAATAACGTTCTTTCAACATATGCTCGTTGCTAATGGACTTTGGATTTTAACTTAGGAAATTGTCTCTGCTTTTATTCATAAGTATGCTTTGTTCCGGCTTTTTCATTATTTCACAACTTTGTTTTTTCACTCAGACACGTTTTTTATTTTCGAAAAAGACCTAGTAAAAATTATACTTAAATGGAAAATGAGGACTACCTCTTGAACTGATCTTACTGAGTTAATGTGAGTCTTTTCGTGTCCCTTTTCCGTTCCCGCGTGCATAAAAAAATGTTTTCACGTACACAGCACAATTGAGCCCTCATTAAGAGCTTATATTATGTTGTGTGCATTTATGAAATTTTAAATTACCATTTCGAGAGTTGCTTTTAAGGTTATGGAGGTCAGAAACGGAGATAACGCGGAGAAAACCTTAGCTAAGAGAGCCAAAAGTGAAAGAAAACTGATATCAACAGATGCATAGCTAGAGAATTGAAATTAATTGCAATAGTTTTTAATAGTTTCAACTGTGATTAAAACCTCAGAGAGTGTAGATTCCACAGGACACTAAAAACTTGCATACTACTCATTGAACGCCTTCGTATAAAAAACACTTCTTTGGTAATTTCCAATTGTTCTTGGTCGCCATCTTAACTGTCAAGACCGCAATCAGTGGTACAAAGATGGAAAGGATCTCATTCACCACAACCTAATGGAGGCAGAAATCATGCACCCTGCTAAGAACGCCATCCTCTTCATGGGAGATGGCATGGGCATCACAACCACGACTGCTGCACGTATATTGGACGGACAGATGAAAGGCAAAACAGGAGAGGAGACTGTGTTGAGCTGGGAAACGTTTCCCTAGTCGGGTCTGGTAAAAACTTAAAGCGTTGATACCCAGGGGACAGACTCGGCGGCTTTTGCGACAGCCATTTTGAGCGGAATCAAGGCGATTGGTGGCAGCGCAAAGGACACAAACTAAAAAAAACGTGAATTATACACGGGAAATAAGTCCGAGAAGTATGATTAAATGTGTAATACTGTTAATA